CTCGTAGACGTCATAGCCCAGGAAGCCTGCGCAGCGTTCTGAGTCCCTTCATGGCTCTCCATCTGCACGTTCCATTCCCGAGCTCTAAGGTCATTTTCAACCATAGCTTGTGGCACCCAAGGATGCCCTGGTGAAGTACCTCCCGCAGCAGTCATTGCCACGGCCATGGTCCTCACTGCCACCTGCTCACCATTGCCCACAGCATCGTCGCCAGCGACACCAGCATTCGGAGCTGCATCCGCGGCCCTTGGGCTCATAACCTCTTGGTGTAGAGGCACGGGAGCTTGGGCTGGCAAGGCAGAATCGTAGTTTGGCTCTGTACTGTCGGCTTCCATGGCTGACAACGCGTTGAGCGAATTCAAATCCTTTTACACACACCAGCACTGTAGCATGAGCTTCTGCACCGAATGTACATGTGCAACATGTCATGCTTGGCACAAGGGTCCTTCCGTAGCCACCTTTTTGAGCCACAGAAGCATTCGAAATCTTAAGCTTCTATACAAGCATGCCCAAAAAGGGCTTCTGCGCATCAACAGTTTGTGTTTATGGGGCTTGGGGTGTAGGGTTTAGGGTTTAGGGGTATGTCGAAGAGTCAGGGTACCTTATAGTTCCCGAACAATATAGTGGTCGGAAGACTTAGTGATCATACGGTTCAAAGTCCCAATACATAGTTGTCTTTATATAAATATAGAATGTATAGAATTATAGAGAATATACCCCAGAGCCTGATTCTCATTACCAACGGCCCTTGGGTAGGGGTCCTTATCAAACGGATCAAACTAACTTGGGATCTCTGTGAGGCTCAAAGCAACACCGCTAGACATCTGAGGTCCGAAACCGGAGAACTTCCTGGGCCTTAAACGCCAGAGTGCCTACTTGGAAACTACAATGCAGCACTTGTTTTCGGTTACCTCAGCCTCTCGCCAAAAGGTCCTTACCATTGTAGTAGGTTATGCACAAGCAACTGTACAAGTGCAGGATCTAGGCACACGGGATCAGAGGCGACGAGCACTGAAACGCTAAGCCCATAGGATGGAACAGGTCAAAACCGGAACCTCTGAAGACCCCACCCTCTTTTAGTCTTTCTCGATCTCTCTTGTCTGTTGTTGCTTTCTGTTGTTCTCTTTCTGTCTCTCTCTCTCTCTCTCTCTCTCTTTGTCTTGGCTCAGCCAGTAACCTTAGTCTCTCTTTCTTGACTCCGCCCACCAGCTCTCCATCTGTCTCGTGCTCGTCTAAGAATTCGTCACACAATCCGAAGACCTGAAAACCATCATGCAGACAGGAGAAGGCTCGCCGACAGGAGGAGGAGGCCGCCAGCAGCGCAGGGCACAGGGCGGGTTGTAGGATTGGTAGTTCGTGGTGTTTTTGACTGTTGTGGGTGTCTTTTTGTTGTGAGCGGCGGAGCGGGTAGGGATCTAGGGTCCCTGCAATCCGTAGAGTTTTGATATTGTTGTTTAAATTTGGATTATTTAAGGCCTGTAGGTGGCCTGATGCCTAAGGAGCCCAATGTAGTGAACGAAAATGATTTGTGATTGATATAAGAACACATATATAGTATTGCTATGATTCAGGTGGACTCCTTAATTAACCGCGGGCATCACCTTCTCACTGGCACGATGGGGGATGTCAAGAGCACAACACCCACCTCTCGGCCCTAGTGAGGCTTTGCTCAAATGCTGGCAGCCCTTAGCCGCCAAACCCTAAGACACCATTCTCCGGGTGCTGAGGAGGAGACTGTGAATCGAGTCGTTGCTTACTATGAACTGCAATCCCATGGCAGCCACTACAGCATTACCGTATGGAATGCCCCCCCCCCCCAAGTAAACCTCCTGTTGACAGTAATTCACACACCTCAATTTCATACATGTTGCCCGCCCAACGAACCACTCAGGCCACAGTTTAGTTTGTCGTTGATGCTTCTACCTGAAACTGCTAACTGCTAAAATCCACATGTTCATACTCATGTGTGTCAAGAAGCACGAATGTAGATTGTACAGAGCCCTAAACCACATTGGAAGGTTGAGGTGGGGAATGCCGCACATTTGCCCGCCCGCGCAGCCCCCATTCCCACACGGCTCAAGAGTCATCTGCTATCCTTGCCGCCATGTCGATGTGGATGATAGAGGATCCGATGTCTTTCATGACTTATTAATTCTTCAGAGCTTATTGCATTGACATTGCCAGTTATGTTCTCCTTAGCGTTTGCCTTGGCACGGCACTTTATGTAGCCTCTTCATGGTGCAGGGTATTGCTTTTTAGGTCCTATCTTGCCATCTGGGATTTTGAGGTTCAAGGATGTCAGAGATTCGAATGTATGACATTGAAATTCAACTCTGTGGGTTAACGGCTATGACTACAGATGATACTATAGGAGCCTAAATATTTACTAATATTATTTTGGGGTGTTCCTTACTACAAATATAGTATAGTGGGCCCCCAAAACCCTATTCTACTTATTAAGGCCTCTACATTAATGGTTAATGACAACAGACGATATCCCCTAAAACCTTGAATTCCTAAACCCTGAAAGGCGGAACAGAAAAAAAAACCTGAAGCCTTAAACCCAAACTGAAGCCCTAAACCCTAAAAGCCGTTCGTGTAAATTCACAACAGTTTAGATAAGGCTGCATCAGAAGAACAAAACTAATACACACTAACACTCGTCCCTGGGGTTCCTTCTTCTAGGTCCTAGCATAAGATATCCCCAAACCCTACAGTACTAAGGGTTGGGGTTCAGGGGTTAGGATGCTATGTTTCAGGGTTCCTTGTTGTAGGTGTCTAGTATAGCTCATGACTCAAGACCCTCCCCTCATTTCTTCCATAGAACTCTTATACTTAGTAACCCGTAAAGGAATCCCTTAAAGAAACCGAACAGAACCCTAGTCTACATGTTAAGGACCCTACATCAGTTCTCCAACACAGGATCCCTTTGTCGTTTCTTCTTACAAGGGTGGCACATGTTGGGGATGTGCACAAAGGCTCGGAAGCCTCGGCAAATCGCGCTTTCGTCTAGATGAGCTACCCTGTACATGCTCTAAATTTAGAGCTCCACCCGGGTGAGGGTACAGAAGACATTGCGGAGCCTACCGGTCGAAGGACTTGGAGGAAGGCCTCCAGTATAACTACAAGCGACTCGGGCATGTTTGGGCTTTTAGATGTGTTGGGGCTATGTAATGTTACACATGTTGTATGTGCTTATTTGGTGAACATATTTTTATAATATCATATGTCTGTATGCACACGTTACAATTTAACACTATTACAACATTACCATATTACAATCTTACAGATCACCACCGTACTGTACATTATCGTCTGTTTAGGGTTTTGAGTTGTGTTGCTTCATGGCCCTCGTGTTTCTCTGTGGAGTGTTGTTATGGCCTTCACTGTACCGCACTGCGCCAGTCGATGAATATGCGATGTGCGATCTCCCCCGTCAATCGAAGCCGTATAGTCGAAATCGACCTCCCAGCAGGCACACAAGTTCACGGATCCCCCAATCTCTGTGTGTTTTGTACAGGCAGAACCTGTGGCTCCCATTACCTAGTATTTTGAGGCATTTCTAGAAGCCTCCTCAATAGCATCATGAACTAGACACCCAAAATGCTGCATTTGGTAATTTGTCTGGATTGCCCCCTCTGGCCCCAAGTCCCCCAAGCCCGAAAAGTTTCAACCAATAACTGAACCTTTAAGCCATGAGGCCCTGAGGCCTAATCTGACTGATATTTTTTTGTAAGATTTCTTCCCAAACCCATACAGTACCCCTGTAGAAGCCCTTGAACACAAAACCTGCATTAAACCTCGCACCGCTCACCCAAGGCTTAAGAAAGTTCTGGCCTCGACCCAGTCCAAGTTCCAGATGGCCCGGGGCCGAGCCGAAAGCCCAACAGGGATGCTTAAAATCAAGGAGGGTTTAGGGTTTAGGCTTTAGGGTTTAGGGTTAAGGCTCTGGCGAATTGGTTTTACGAGTATGCCCCAGCATCTTGTTCTGATAGTGTTCGGGGCCTTCGCTTATTGTTGCAGGTTTCCGTGCCGGGTTTTTATGTGACCACTACTGGTTAAAGGGTTTGGTAAGCGTAGCAACACTGGTCTCAATAATGGGATAATATCTCCGTAGGGTCCCTAATACACCCCAAAACCGCCAAACCCTGCTCCTGATCTAACATACCCAAACTAACGACTTATTCTCATGCTTAGCGCCCCTGTCCTACCCATACGGGCCTTTGCAACGGGTGGCTGAAGATTCCTGGTTGCTCGAGGGATATTTTGGGAATCCCTCCTGGGTCTGTAAATAAATTATTTTGCGGAGATTGAAGGGTTTTTTGCCTGCAAGGATTTCGGCGACTTCGGACCCAATGCTGAGTGATTAAATATTTTGCCTTTCTGTTCCAGACTTCACCCGCCTGAACCCTAAACCCTAAAAACCCGGTCAGCAACCCCTTAAGCCGACTCTAGGCGCCAAAATAATTACCAATACTATTTTGGTGGCTCATTATTATAAGTGTAGTATAATGGGGCCCAAAACCATAATATTCTAATTATTCCCCTGAGGGTCCATGTACCCAAATAGTATATACATTGGCCCCAAAGTACTTATATAGGGACTACTTTAAGGCCAAAGTATCTCTATTTGGCTACATGGACCCTTAGGGTTCAGGCCCCTAAAGGACTACCCTAATTCCAAGACCCTCCATCCTGCAACCCGAAGCCTCAACCCCGCACCCCCAAAAACTGCGAACCGATCCTAAAACTCTAAACCCCAAAGTTCTAAGCTCTATAAGATCTGGCCTCTGGGTTTAGGGTTTAGGGTAAAGTTCTAAGCTCTAAGATCTAGACTCTGAGCCAGCGGTAGGGTTTAGGGCT